AGTGTGCAGGAAATGTCTCCCTAATTCAGTAAGTGTTAAGACTTAATGTCCTTCATCTGATCTGTCCTATCTAATCTGTACTGTGGGTGAACCTCTTTCCCTTGCTCTCCCCCGGGGCTGTTTCACAGTATTCTGGAGTACTTTTTGAGTATTGGTTCCTGAACATCAGCAGCCTTGGGTGCCTCTGTGGACTCCCGGAGTTGTCTCCTTGGTTGTGTTCTGGTGCCATCCTTTGTACCTCCACCCCCGACTAAGGTGCCCAGCAACCTGTCTTCACCAGTCATGGACTCTGCCATCTTGGCTATAGATATAGGTCTGGAGAAATCTTTCCCTTTTTCCTTGATTTCTTTTTAAAGGTATATTATCTCTCCCCACTCCTTTTTTCCCTCCTCAATCTAGTTAAATTTCCTAAGCTTTCACAAAAATCTGCGAAGAGATAATTAAGAGCTTAGCATCCCTCTTAGAACTAGAATAGAAGGCAGTACAGATAACAAATAAGTTGTGAGTATATTATCTATATTTTGCAACATTTTCTGACTGTAGCTCCCATTGTATTTATTTGCCTGACACTCACTTGTTTGATTTGCACCTTGAACACTTTACTAGGTCTTTTCAGTTACTTTGCTTGGGTTAAGACACTTTACTAAAATTTCAGCCTGAATCCTTTCTTTAGTTGAAGAAAGGGTATGTGTGTGCAAGTGGGTGTGGTTGTGCCAGTTTTTCTTGTCTCAGGTAGATACTTCTACTGTGTATAAATAGATCTACAGAGTTTTCATACTTACCTCCTGTATTCTGTTTCTGTGGTAAAAATATGAAATATTTTAGTTGTATGTTTAGTGATTGGTTGGTATTATCAACACTGTTGTTGTTTGCTGTTTCATTAAAGCATGCTCTTAAGGAGTACATATGGTCATTAATTGCCAACTATAATAGATTCCAGTGATCTGGCCCCTGCCTACCTCCTTACTCTCTTTCATTCTATGTCATGCTTCTCCACTCTTTTCCCCAATGATGCACTATTTTGACACACTGGCCTTGCTATTCCTTAAGCAAATCACATTCTTCCCAATCCAAAGACTTTGCACATGCTATTGTCTTTCTTAGAATGCCCTTCCCCTAGGCCTGCATGGCTTGCTACCTCACTTAATTGTTTGACACTTCCTTTGGTTCATTGAGCTTCAAGGCTCTTAAAATGCCACTGACAATGAGATCTCCCTGTAAAAAAAAAAAAACTTTTACTTTTTCCTCTTAAAGGCACTTTACTCTCTCCCTACTCTTTTCTTCCCTCTTCAGTGTATTTAAATTTCCTAAGTTTTCATGAAAAAGCTAAAAAACGATCATCATCAAGGGCTTTGCTTCTGTCTTAGAGTTGAGCTAGCTCGAGTCAATTTCTGTGCCTGCAACCAAATGAAAATTAATATAGTGAGTTCTTTCAGGAGCTTTCTCTGTTTTTCTATTGATACCTCTATATATTTTTAAGGCAATGTCACTTTGTTTTGTTTACAAATATATTGAATATGTCAAGATTACTATTTTGTTATTACCCTTTGTGAATTTCCTTGTCTATTTTGCTCGCTTGTTCTTTCAGATGAAATTTATTATTTTATTAATGTTGCCAAAAATTATAAGTAAAATATCAATTATAGTAATAAAATGTTTTGTGAAAAATGCTGTTGCTGTATTGT